AAGCAGGCCTCCTCCACGTTGAAGATTATGTCTATGGAGCTTGGCGGTAATGCGCCGTTCATCGTCTTTGACGATGCCGATATCGACGCTGCCGTTGCCGGTGCTGTCACGTCCAAGTTCCGATCTTCTGGACAGACGTGCGTGTGCGCCAACCGGATATATGTCCAAAAGGGCGTTTACGATGAGTTCGCTAAAAAGTTTGCCGAGAAGGTGAAGGCATTCAAGGTTGGTCATGGGTTCGACGAGGGAATTACCCATGGCCCCTTAATCCACGAGCGAGCAACCTCCAAGGTTGAGTCCCACGTCAAGGATGCCGAGGGCAAGGGTGGAAAGGTTATCGTAGGAGGACAGAAGATGCCTGACCTAGGATCCAACTTTTTCCAGCCTACCGTTATCACTGGCATGACCAAGGACATGGCTATTGCGTGCGAGGAGACCTTTGGGCCGGTGGCTGGCCTGTTCCCCTTCTCGACCGAGAAGGAAGTGGTCGAGCTAGCGAATGCTGCCGACGTCGGCCTAGCAGGATACTTTTTCTCACGAGACCTTGAGAGAATCACGCGGGTGGCTGAGGCTCTGGAGGTCGGCATGGTTGGTGTCAACACCGGCCTCATCTCCGACCCCGCCTCGCCCTTCGGCGGTGTCAAGCAGTCTGGTTTCGGTCGGGAGGGATCCAAGTATGGAATCGAGGAATACCAGAACATCAAGACGATCACATATGGTGGTATGGGCAAACCACTACAGGGGTAAAAAGGGTACAAAAGAAAGCATTTTTTTTCCTATCCGATCTATTTTAAGGAGTAAGGGGCGGAGATGAGGGATCAATGTAATATGTTGTTCGTTTAGTGTACATACCGGTAGCATTGTAAAGAATCATCAGTGAAAAAGTCAGCCAATACATCATTAAGTTATCTTTTATATGTAAACCAGGCTAACACCATCATTCTGTATAGAAGCTGAAAACAGTGAGAGAGAATAAAACTGATTGGCCATTAGGTGATTCATTTTGGGCTGGATGTTCTCTAATAACGAGCATAGGTACGCTAACCTCTAAACCTCTAGGTGCATAGGTAGGTAGTAGGTAGATACTAGAGTATGCTGTATGTACATATACATATATCGGGGTTGTTTGCTACTCCCTTAGCTGCAAACCTCGTATTGGTCAATAGTCCAGGATTTGATCCATCAAACCAAAAATCCATTGGAACATCAAAAATTCCCACCCGAGCCCGAACACAAAAGGTGGTGCAGGTGGAAAGCAAAGAGGGCCGGTGTCTTCAACCACGATACGCGATTAATTACCCCCCCTCCCACCAATGATTCGGAACCCGCTCTACGCGGCCGTCGCCCGGCCCGCGAGGGCAGACCTGTGTCGGGTCACAGAAGGTGTCGCCGCCTCACTCCGACACTTTTCCACAGCCCAGAGTCTTCAGCAGGAGAGCAGTGGCAGCAGCAGCGGCAGCAGCAGTAGCAGAGGTGGTGGTGGTGGTGGTGGTATTGGTGGCAGGGGCAATTACAACAACAACAACCCCAATTCCAGGCGGCATAAGGCCGCCGCCGCCTTCGACGAACTCCTGTCCACCACAACGACCATGAGCAGCATCAACTCCGACGGCCCGATCCGCGCCCCGGTGCCTCCAAGAGCCTTCCCCAGCAGCAGCGATACCCGCACCCCAAACATCATCCGCGTCTCGAGTCTGCCCTCGCGAGGAGGACGGGAAGAGGGCGGCAGTAGAGGAGGTCCCAACATAATCCGAGGCGGACCCAGAATCATCCGGGGCGGGTTCCGAGGGCGCGTGCGCGGTTCCTTCGCCGACCGCGGGGCCACATCGTCCGACTCTGGCGGTCAGGGCTCGGTAAGTGGTTCGGACCGCCCGGACCGCCGGCCTATGTACTGGGGTGTCAGAAGAGGGAATCATCCCGAGAACCAGGCCAGAAAAGACATCCGTTCTCGTGACGGTAGTGGCAATTGGGGGGTTCGCGGCGCGAGCCCTAGTCGCAGCCGTGGTCGCGGTCGTGGTCGCGGTCGCGGACGGGGTGGCAAGCGCGGGCAGGACGGGGACCGGAAGGACGGGCGGGAGGAGGGCCAGCCGGACGACTGGGAGGACTCGAAAGTGCAGGAGTGGCGCGAGGACCGCGAGATGGGCGTCCCGCTCGTGTTCAACCCGAGCGTGACGCTCGACACGTTGGCCGGCTACGGCCCCGCCGTGGCCACGTCGGGCACGCCCCAGGCGGTCGGCGAGACGGCCCTGCGGCAGGCGCGCATCCTCGGCGGCGGCATGCCCTACGACGAGCACATGATGCTGGAAGCGGACGAGGTGCGGCAGCGCTACCGCGACGGCGAGGGCGTCTTCTTCCCCTCCCAGCGCGCCAAGGACCTCACCCTCGCCCACCACAAGAAGCACCACCGCACCTTCGAGACCCCACCCCAGGAGACCAAGGACGCCGTGCTCGAGGCGGCCGTGCTCGGCCGCTACGACGGCCCCGCCTTCGCTCCGGCCGACGACACCCTCGCCACCGTGCACAACTACGTGCGCCGCGACGGCACGTGGAACGCCGACGCGAGCAGGCGCATCGAGGCCAAGATCCAGAGCCTCCTGGCACAGACTACGGCCACGGCTTCGGCTTCGGATGCGAGGTCGGATAAGGCCCGTCCGTAAAAAAAAAGGGTTGTGGTTGTGGTTGTGTGTACGGGGTGGGAGTGGAAGAAGATATGAAATGAAGCATCTCCCGAATTTAGCTTTAGCTTGTAGACCAGATCAGAAACCTGACCACACCAGACCAGATCTCTCTTCCTGTAATACTAGGTACCATTGCCGATGGCATACGCAAATACACACACACATATGGGCATTTACGTGCTTGTAACAAAAAACGAACAAACAAACATATTGGTGCATCGCGTGCCTGTGTACCTCTTTCTCTTCTTCTTCTCACCAGTCAAATCATAATGTATTTGGGAAAGGTGGTTTACAAATGTTTTTATACTGATGCCCCGGTGCTCAGTATTCTTTAATTTCATATCGGATTTGTACATTTGGTCCGTCCGGTGGTTTTTTTTTCGGGCCAGTATTTATCTACTCTTTTTTTTCTTGTCCTTTTTCTTTTTCTTTTTCTTTTCTCAATCCCCCCTCTCGCTTTTGACCCTTTTCTTCAAACCCTCATGACCAATGACCATGAACCGTTTCCTGGTGAGCTCGGGATGATATGGTTTGCAATATTACCTAAGGTTAGGTATCTACCATTTGATATACCTATCCCTAACTAGCCCCTTTAACATCAACAACAACAATAATAATAATAGCCCCCTCCCCCTCCCCCCCCTTTTTTTTTCTCTCTTTTCATTTCTTTTTCTTTATTTCCCGCTCTCGGCAGCTTTCAGGGCCTCCTTCTCGACGGCGTCGATCTCGGCCATCTTGGCCTTGATGAGCTTGTCGAGCTCCTTGTCGGCGGTCTTCTTGAGGTCGGGCACGATGAGCTTCTCCTTCTGCCAGGTGGCGTGGAGCTTGTCGCGGCGCTGGCGGACGCTGCGGACGCGGTCGCGCCAGTCGTGGCAGAGGGCCTTGAGGCGGCGGGCGGCGTCGTCGGGGCGCTCGGGCTCGACGCGCAGGACGAGCTCGAGCGCGTTGTCGGGGCTGCGCTGGGGCTGCTGGTTGAAGTCCTCGCTGGCCTGGACGGCGCTCATGACGCCGCGCACGTACGACTCCTCGTGCACCAGCAGCGACACCGTGCGCCCCCCGCGCGGGATCACCTGCGCCAGCTCCCGCAGCGGGTACGCCGCCGCCGCCTTGCGGTCCGGCTGCACCATCAGCGCCCCGATCGCGTCCGGGTTGAACCGCCCCCCGCTGCGCAGCCGCTTCAGCGCCTCCCGGTAGTGCGCGTCGTGCCGCGCCATCCGCGACTGCACGTCGGCGAACTCGAGGGGCGCCGACGGGTCCGCCGCTGGGTGCTTGGGCCCGTCGCTGTCGCTGTCGCCCCCGCCCTCGCCGTGCGACTGGGGCCGAGACGCGGCCCGGCTGGTGCCCTTGGGCTCCGGCTCGCGAGACTTCTGGCCTTTCTTGTGGGCTGCGGGGGTGCCGTGGAAGCAGGCGACGGCGACGGCGGAGACGGATGGCGGGAGGTGTGAGGGCTTGCTGCGTGTGGGCGCTCCTAGTATCGTTGCTGCTGTCGCTGGAGTGAAACCGGCACGAGAAACACGGTAGATGCTGCCACTAGTGGTAGATATACACGCCGTGGGGGGGCCAATGGGAAGCACCTGCGTCCTAGCTAGCTCGGGGCGAGCAATGCCTCCTCCTCGCTGGAGGAGAGTTCTGGCTGCCGCTCTCCTCATGGTGGTGGCTTTTTTGCTCCCTCGAGATTTTTTCTAGGTAACTTGATAGCTTTTTTTTTTTTGGAAGCGAATCGCAAAAGAAAGCTCCACTTCGAAAGATCCTGAAGGTCAAGGTCTTTTTGGCGTTTGTTCAAGTTGCTGCTGTACGACATTTGTGTACTAACCAACCCCGCTATTAAGTGGAGAGGGGGAATGGAAAGCTCGAGGGGAACATGGACCTCCCCGTCCTCGAACATGTTGTTCCGTATATATTTGATACGTGCATAGAGAAGTTAGGTTAAGTACCTATTAGGTAGGTACCGTACCTTGTGTATATACATAGCTTGCCCCGTAGATGTTCCTCTATTCATTTGCACCTCCTTCATGCCTATAAATAGTATAGAGGAAAGGATTACATTGATACTTAATAACCCGATCACTACATACTCTGTAACTAATTGTAAATTTGGTAGTAGGTAGGTATGCATGTATGTAGGTTAGGTAACTTTAACCGCATTTAATGCATAGAGAAAACTAAATTTAAGAGCCATCAAATTCTTTTAACTACACCCACCTAACCTATGTAGTGTAAACTAGAGCAAACCACTTTACACTATGTATGCCCACCAAATGGGGCTGCCTGCCTCACTAGAGCAATACATAGTGCGCCTTAAAATCCCTACCTTTCATCCCCGGCTGCCTGGTGTAGTGGTTATCACATCTGTCTTACATTGGAATCTTAATGTGAGGACACAGAAGGTCGGCAGTTCGATCCTGCCGGCAGTCAAACTTTTTGTCCCCACCTCACCCGCTGATTTGAGCAATTTCAATGTTACTTTCTTTTCTTTTTTTGTCTTTAATCAACTCTGGTTGGTTTTTGCTAATGAGCGGTGTTTGGCTTTTTGTGGTTGTGAGGTTTGGTTTCTGCATTTAACTATCACATTTCCAAAAGTTGCCATTATCAAGGAATGATGAAGTTAACAATACTGGATGTAACTTGTGTGCTTTCCACTCTATTACCCCTATACAACTCATGTTCCTTTCACCCCATGTCAACTGTTGTCCCTCATGCTTTTCTTGTTATTGAGGATTATACCGTCCCTTCGACAATAGGGTGAATAGAACCAAAATTCCTTTAAAACAGACATTAGTCTTTAAACAATAAGCGCAAGGGAAATAAGGATGTATGGTTCTAACATGAAGCCACGCAGATAAGAGTTATTTTAATATTTGTACCTAGGTATGTTTTTAGTCACGAGTATTATGGGAAACCATATAACAGCAGCATAAAATTCAATTTTTATTTATTATTGTCAACTACCCACATAGGTAGGCAGTTTCCCATTGACCAAATCGTTGTTGCGATGTTAGATTTCAAAGCACGTTAATGAAACAGGGTGTTATACAGGCAAAGCAGGTGCGAGCTATTAGAATCTGGTCACCTTGGCGTTAATCATTTATTCTACTCGTGTGACTTTAAAAAGGAAGTTATGTGTTCTCGAGTTCACTGTTGCTTTGTGCAAACATACTATAAAGTACCTATATATATATATATTTAATATGTGTGTATTAATAGTATAGATGAATGGCTTCTTATATCATGTGGATTTAAAGTTTTAAAATCCTCTATATCTGCTTACTAACAGTAGTTGTTATATATATCAGGAACATGCACATGAAGGGGACTAGAGAATGCTTGATATACATTGACACGACGATAGCCTTGCCAAAAGACCAAGGCCCGTAAGTTGTGGTTAACTCGTACATAGGTATACGAGAGATGGCTACACGCACGCTCTTCTCCAATCTTCACGGTACCATCTCATCGCATATCGTCTCCTGCTTTGTAGCAGGGTCAACAGGCTGACTGGCTAACAGGGAACGTTGAGGAAACAGAGTAGATCAGTCCCACTGCGAGTTCTAAGTACCTTATTACCACTTGTGTAGGTAGTATGTAAGTAATATTGATGAGTGCAAACTATGTTAGGAAGCACGTAGCATTGATATCCATCATGTACCTACACCAGACACACACATGCCACCATTGTCAAGTAGTAAAAAGTAAATCAGACAGACTATACAATAAACCTCTCCCTCTATATCTACATATAGTCTACCTTATCTCTCTACCTAGATCTAAACACCTTTTCACCTCACTTCCCACCAAGTCTCCAAACCTCCATCCCAACACCCCCAACCATAACCCTTACATCCCTCTCCTGCTCCTTTCCCTCCCCCCCATCACCGTCCAGGACCTCCAAATCGCCCGCGTCCGCCACGGCGCTATACCGATCATCCAGGAGCCGGACCTTTAGGGCATTTCGCCAGCCGACGAGCCGCCACACCTTGACGCGCTGGTCATTACTCGCCGTGACGACGACCGCGTCCTCGCCGTCGAGCCTCGCAACGACCACGCCCGTGATGGCGGCCGCGTGCGCCGACCTGACGACGCATTTGCTCTTGATCTGGAACCTGCGCCTCCCCGACCCCGGATGAGGAGTCCACACGTGCGTGACGCCCAGGGCGTTATCGTCGCCCCCCGTGACGACGAGGTACGACGTCCCCGACGACGCCTCGGGGCCGGAGCAGCGCGCCGCGCGCATGTCGAGCGCCTTGACGGTATTCTGGTGCAGCCGCGTAACGAGCGGGAGCTCGCGCTCTCCCTCCTCCCCATCTCCCCGCGCATCCGCAAAAATCGCCAAGTGCCCGTCTGTCGCCGCGGCCAGGAGGTGGGGGCAGCCTCCCGCGGCGTCGAGGCCCAGGTGCCTCACCTGCGTGAGGCAGGCGCCCGTGTACGTGCGCCTGCCGAGGAGCTGGAAGCCGCGCGCGGCCGAGTACGCGTAGCAGCGCAGCGTGGAATTCGACAGCGCCATCGAGATGCAGAACCGCGTCGCCCCCTGATCATCAGCGTCCAACCCCCCCTCAGCGACGATGCGCTCGACGTCGAACCCCATGATCCGCAGGTCGCCCGCCGCCGAGCGGTCCGGGAACACGGCCTCGCAGACGACCGCGAGCCCGCCGCCGAGCGCGCGCGCCCGCCACGCGAAGAACTCCTCGTTCCCGCCGCTGCTGAACAGGTGCTCGGCGCCGCACCAGCGTAGCGCCTGTATGCCGGTGGCGTGCTTCTCGAGGGCGGCGACGCAGCGCAGCGGCGGCGCGCCGCCGCTTTCGGCGTGCTGCTGCTGCTCCCATATGCGTATGACGGTGTCCTCGGCGGCCGTGGCCACGAGCCGGCCCCCGGCGCTGATGGCCTTGATCTCGCGCCCGTGGGCGCCCGCCTTGAGCGTGCGGTGGGGGCTCCGCGCCTGCGTGAACACGCGCATGGCCGAGGCCTTGGTGAAGACGAAGCGCATGCGCTCGGGTTCGCCCTCGGCGCCGGTCGTATAGGCGAAGTTGCGGTGGCCCCCGCCGCACTCGACCGCCGCGATTTCCTGGCGCCGCGTCTCGTTCCAGACTACGAAGTGCTTGCTCCGGAACCCACAGAGCATGAGGTCCTGGGTCCCGTCGGCGTTCTCCGAGAACCAGGAACCCTCGATCATGGGCCCGAACGGTGGAGACATCTCGTGCAGGAGGGGGGCCTCCACCACCCCGTCGGGTGTGGTTTTGATCTCGTAGATTCGGAATTTGCCGTCCCGACCGGTGGTGAGGAAGTGGTTGAGCGATGATTGCTGGTCCGGACCGGGAAGAGGGAGGATGGAGGTGATGGCATCCTTGAGTTTGACTTTTATGTTCAATACGGGGGAGTAATTCCCATTGTTGTCTTGGGTGAGGATGGATACTAGGCCATGTCTCGAGCCAAGAACGAGATACTTCCGGCAGAACGCGGCGGCTGTAGGAGTGAACCCTGGCTTTAGAGTGACTTCCGTATATCTTGCGATAGAGATATTGGACTTGACCCGAAGAAGCTTGGCTTCGGTGCTGCCGAGGACAGTGACGAGAATATCTGAATAATCACACTCCGGTCTATCATGGCCTTGGCCATCTTGATCGTATATCTTGCTATCACCCGAAAGACAGAAAATGTCATGAATTTTTCCATGCACTTTCGTCACGGGATAGAGTGACTTGTCTTTACAGTGCCGGTAGCAGAAAACATCACCACTGGCTGTGCCGATGAAGGTCATTGAACTTGCTACTGAGTTCGTAACCACGGAGTACGTCATGATAACTTTGCGGGTATCATCCGGGATAGCCAACTCTGTCCATCTGAGATCGCTTGTAAAGTCGCCAATGAATACTCGACCAGAGTTCGTAATGGTGAATAGGTGGTCATCAGTGATGAAATTGTAACGAAGAAAGGATTCCTTGGTGTTTGTTATTGTTTTGCAAGGCACAGCCGAGTCCGAAGCATCCAGGGTGTTTTGTGCAGGAGTATGGTATTGGCATGATGCGACCACGTCCGCTAAAGATAATTCAGTCATTTGACCCTCCTCATTCAGGCCTTGTACAGATTTTGTTTGGTCGATTTTATGCTCATTTAATAGGTTTGTCGAAGCCTCGTCTATAAGAGCTACCTTGCCATCTGCTCCACCGGTAGCAATAAGAAGGCTGCCATCAATGCCGAGTTTCATAGCATGCGACCATACATGCTTTCCGCTGTGGTTCGAGAACGTAGTTTGATGTGTCAGGCTAGCCATTAATTCAGTCGTTTTACCCATCGTTCCATTAGTAGGGGCTGAGGATGGCAACCGCTCTCCTAAATTGAGATGCCACTTCTGAGCAGTAGCGTCCTCTCCAAAGGAGTAAACCTCGATGATATTGTGTGTCGGGTGATGCCTCTGTATATGTGCAAATTCAACTTGCCATATCCTCGAGATATGCCCCATTGCCATTGCCACGCATCTCGTCACACTATCGTCGTGCTCTGTGGTCTTGACGCTATCCCCAAACCCAGTTTCCCGAGCGTCCGAGATTTGGCTTCCATACCCGCCTTGTATATTTCTGTCTTCGTTCTGTCTTTCGGTAATATTCCATATACGCACAGTCCGGTCATCACTGCAGCTTGCAAGTAGCCTTATAGGCTCCCCAGAAGGGGACCGCATCTCAGGAGAGATATTCACCCCAAAAATCGAGCCCTCGTGTCCTGAAAACACAAAAAGTACCTCACAGCTAGAATCGCAGGCATCGGAGCCAAGGTTGCATTTCCAGACGAGGATCTCCCCGAACACGGTTCCAGCCGCAACGAGGACGCAGTCCGTGGAGACCCAGAAGAAGTTTCCCGAATAGAGAATCGGCCGTGAGGGTGATTGGATCCTGCCGAAGGTAAGAGATCTCACGTCCGGGCTCACCTGGGCCTGGATTACCTCATTGTGCGCGGTGAGAAGAACAACGCGGCCACTGTCAAACGGGGAAACCCTGCCATCGAAGATCCAGTCCGGAGCCCGGACCTCGACGGCGCTTTTCGCCAGACTCTCTTCGCTCACATGACCCGAGACAATGCACTCCTCGATGAGTTCCCTCGACAGTACCTTCACGAGATGACCACCCCAGGCGAGAATCCGGGCAGGGTTCTGGCCCGCATCCTGGGGAGGCACAGCGATCCCGTGGATAGGCTGGGCGCGGAAAACGGGCAGCTGGCCGCAGAAGCGCGAGGAAGCGACATCGTATATCTTGATATCGGTGTCCTCGCCGGCCAGGACGTACTGGCGCTGCGTAGTAGCGGAATAAAAAAAGGCGAGCGCCGTGATGGGATTCAGTACGTATTCCCGTCCAAGAGGACCGACGGCTGCCGGCTGGACAGGGGTATGAAATTGTGTATTAGCAAGGGTTTTGAATCATGATGATCAC